TTTGTTGAATGAACAAATGATCTAAGTTTTATGTGTATTGTATCCAAGCAATTGAGAAAAGGGTTAGAGTTTTGAAAAATGTGCTTTTTGATCATTGGTTGTGAGTTTTGTGTCTAGAGTTGTGAAAAATGACATCAAGGTTCTGAAAATAGTAACAAAGTGATTGTAAAAAACTGTAAAACACACATTTAACCATATAAACATAAACACAAAAGACACCTTTATTTGCTATTCATCAGAAAAATGAGGGTGTTACTCAAGTCACCATTTCAAAACTGACTTTCACCTTCATCATGTAATAAAGAGGTCTCAGAAAGCTCATGCGGATCTATGTGCAGAGTGTTTAATGAAACAGCAGGCAGAAAACAGTATAGGAATACAGGCAGGGTCAGTAAACAGGGCAGGCATGGGAGTCGGAGGTCTCGGCTAGACAGCCAGACCCGTTGTCCAGGGCGGAGGGTGGGAAATGGACGACGATGACGGTCGGCCTGGATCTTTTGCTGACGGATAGCCCGATGAAGGTGTACATGTGTGGCGTCCCAGACCTGTTCGCTGCACTGAAGCCAATGATCCACAGCCGGAAGTTCAGAAGGCACACCAGACCAAGGAAAGAGAGGTGGTTGGAACCCCAGTACACACTCGAAGGGAGTTAAGCCAGTTGACTGCTTGCGGAGGGAATTTTGGGTGTATTCAGCCCATGGGAGGAAGTGGCTCCAGTCATTCTGGTTCTGTGAGCAGTAGGTTCTGTGGAAACGGCTTATTGAGGCGCTCCACCTGGCCATTGGCCTGCGGGTGATAGCCCTAAGTGAGACTCACATTAATGTATAGTAACTCACAGAAGGCTCTCCACACCTGGGAGGTAAACTGAGGTCCCCGATCCGAAACAATGTCTTCAGGCAGGCCAAAAAAACAAAACACATTTTGAAACAGTACCTTTGCAGTCTCAAGGGCTGAGGGTAGCTTTTTGAGAGGCACTAGATGACAGGCTTTCGAAAATCTACAGACAATAACAAGTATTGTGGTGTTCCCCTGAGATGGAGGGAGATCAGTGAAGAAGTCCACACCCAAATGAGACCAGGGACGATGGGGAATGGGTAACGGATGAAGTAAGCCTGCTGGACGCAGACAAGAGGTCTTTAATTGAGCACATATGGCACAGTTCTTTACAAAGGTTGTCACATCAGATGCAAGGGAGGGCCACCAAAACTTGTTTCTCACCAGCTGGATAGTGCGACTCTCTCCTGGATGACCGGAGCTAAGCGAAGTTTGTACCCACTGCACGACTCTGTTTCAAAGAACTTGAGGAACATAAATATGTCCTTCTGGGCAAGTAGTGGGGTCAGCCTCCTGTGCTTGAGAAATTTCATTAAAGATGTTCCAACAAACTAGTGCTACCACAAGGGATGGGGCTAGGATGCTAGTAGGGGTTTCAGAGCAAGAGCCACCAGAATACATGTGAGAGAGCGCATCCGCCTTGACATTCTTGGACCCGGGGCGGTAGGTTACTGAGAAGTGAAATCTAGAGAAGAAGAGTGCCCACCTTGCCTGACGAGGGTTCAGTCTTTAAGCACCTTGAATGTACTCCAGGTTATTATGGTTGGCGAGTACTACAAATAGATGTTGGGCTCCCTCCAACCAGTGCCGCCATTCCTCAAATGGCCAACAGTTCACAATTTCCTACATCATAATTTCTCTCGGCTGTGGACAGCTTTCTGGAAAAGAAGGCACAAGGAAACAACTTAGCTGGGGAACCATGGCGCTGAGAGAGAACTGGTCCCACTCCAATGTCTGATGCATCTACCTCTACCACAAAAGGAAGAGCTGGGTCTGGGTGTTTCAAAATAGGGGTGCTAGTAAGACTAACCTTAAGCTCTTGGAAAGCTTGAGCTGCTGCAGAGGTCCAATGGAGGGCGCGGGGAGAACCCCGCAGCAGAAAAGTGAGTGGAGCAGCTACACTACTGAAGTTGCGAATGAACCGTCTATAAAAGTTTGCAATCCCCAAAAAACGTTGAAGTTCCTTGATTGACTGAGGCTCGGGCCAATCTGCTTGGGTTTTGGAGGTGTCCATGCAAGCCTCCCCAGGACTCAAAACGTAACCCAAAATGTGACTGAGGGTACGTGAAACACATTTCTCTGCCTTGACAAAAAGATGATTATCAGCCAGTCGCTGCAGCACTTGTTTAACATGTACCACATGAGTCTCTAAAGATGGGGAATAAATCAGAATGTCATCAGTGTATACAACAATGAACTTATTAACATGTCCTTGAAAGTCTCATTCATGAAGGACTGGAATACTGCAGGTGCATTATAAAGCTCAAAAGGCATGACCAGATACTCATAATGGCCTGTGTTGGTGATTAAGGCAGTCTTCCATTTGTCCCCCTCACGAACACGAATGAGAATGTAAGCACTGCGCAAGTCTAACTTGGTGAATACCTGAGGGTACCATCTTTTTTTCCCACAAAGAAAAAACCTGCGGCTGCAGGGGATGTTGAAGGTCTGATGAAACCCTGAAGTAGTGCTTCCTCCACATACTCCTCAGTAGTATCAATGTATCAGTATCAGTATCAATGGACACATTTTTAACCAAAGATACATCAATAAAAATTTCCAGCAGACCCAGAATCAATGAGAGCAGAAACCACCATTTGACTCCCCTTGTAACTGATAATAGCAGAAATGGTAAGACAACAGTTAGAATCTGAAATCACCGGGGAGCGACTGGCAGTTGAGGCTTCGGGGCGTTCCACGCAGGCGGAGAGAAAGTGACCAGCTTTACCACAGTAAATGCATAATCCCATCCCAATCCGACGCTGACCTTCAGCGGGAGTCAGACGAGTGCGTCCTAGTTGCATGGGGTCATGAGCTGAGAGATCGCTTCCACTGTGAGTGCGGGGCTCCGACGGCATGGAAATAGGGCTTCGGGTTCATATCGGATTGTCAATGCAAATGGAAAGTTGAATGAATTGTTCCAGGGACAATTGTTCATTGCGACTGGCAAGCTTGCTCTGAAGAGAGTGCGATAACCCGCACTGATAGAGATTTTTAAGCGGAGCGACAGGCCAGCCACTCTGTGCGGCCAGAGTTCTAAATGCAAGAGCATAATCAGCTGCAATGTCAGTACCTTGTTTATTGGAAAAGAGACGATCCTCCACACTAATTCCTCCCGCTGGATGTTCAAAAACGTCACAGAAACGAGAGGTAAACACATCCAAAGAGCCGTGAATGGCGGTATCGTGCTGCCAAATCGCCGTGGCCCAATCAAGGGCCTTGCCATTCAACAGATTAATCACAAATGCTACTTTAGACTCTTCAGTGGGGAAAGTCTGGGGCAGCTGAGCAAAATATAGAGAACACTGAAGCAAAAAACCTTTACATCGACCCGGGGTGCCGTCGAACTTCTCAGGAAGTGAAAGATGGGGATTTCCAGCCACAGAAAGAGGCATTTGTGGGCTTGAGGGAATGGGAGGAGCGGGTGCAGCAGCACCGGTTGAAGTCGCCGCTGAAGTGGCTGACTGTTGGCGAAGAAAGCCTAAAACCTCATCCATGGCAACCGATAAACGGGCGAGCTGTTGGTAGTGCTCACTTAACATTGCTGCCTGAGATGCTAGCGTGACGTGCACCCGAGGCTCCGCTGGATGCAATGGTGGTGAAGTCTTCTGTAATGATGAAGATTCAGAAAGCTCATGCGGATCCATGTGCAGTGTTTAATGAAACAGCAGGCAGAAAACAGTATAGGAATACAGGGTCAGTAAACAGGGCAGGCAGTCCAGACAAGGCAAACAAATCCAAAACAAAAAGCAAATGGAAAAAGCACAAGAGAGTCCAAGTGCAATACACAGAGAAATCCAATACAAAGTAAAATGCTCAGAGTTGTGTCCAAAAGGAAGAACAAGACTTCACAAGGCAAATGTGTGCGAGCTGGGCTATTTATAGCCAGACTACTAATGAACATGATGCAGCTCAGGTGTGTTTGTGACCCGGAAGTCAATACTCAGGTGACGGCTCCCTCCTGTGGTGCACTGGTGGTATTACATATGGAGGTACCAGTATGACACATCACCTGTCACAGACTGTTATGATTAAATACTTAATGAATACATGTGTTGGTTTGTGGGTTGGCAGCTTATCATTTAACTGTGGTTTCATCTCTCAGGGCTGTAACACATGGTCAATTCGTCAGTTATTTCTCACCCACCAACATCTGCTGTACGGAGAAAGACAGACATACGGGTGCAGGAAAGTTATTATCTGGGTGACCAGACATTTCAGCATGTTTTTATAGCACAAGCTAAAATTTGCCCATTTAAGCTCTTTTCTTTTCTTTTCTTTTCTTTTCTTTTCTTTTCTTATTGGTATTACACTGTTATGTAACCCAACAAGCACAACCTGTCACTTCCCCTTTTGACAGCCTGTCTTTGTGTCATTTTTGTGTCTATAGCTTTGCTCTTCACTATCACAGGTACACTGTAAAAAATACTGGGTTGTTTTTCAACCCATGTTTAGGTCAAATATAGACAAACCCAACCAATTTAAAAATGTGTTTGTATTTGACCCAAACATGGGTTGAAACAACCCAGCATTTTTTTTTATCATTCTTGCACATTATTGTAAGTAATTTAGTGATAAATTGTCAATGTATAGGCCCTATATTTTATGGGGATTTCCACTGTGCATGAATCAGAACTGTGAGACATTAAAGAAACCATTTGTCCCTATTATTACAAGCTTCAAGTGCGCATAATGGGCAAACAATGCATTTAAATTGAGCATTAAATGGTAACACTTACAGTTAATATACAAATGGGGTAATTAAATTCACCAGTAAATAGCTGTGAGTGAGTAAAATGAGTTGGACATGTGCATCAGCACGTGAGAGGAAATAATATTCAGGAAAAAAATCACATCATGTGTCATGCAGGCCATGCCATGCATGTAAAAAAACAACAAAAAACTATTGTCTCTTCCGGGACCTGTTTCAATACACTGAATGTATGTTTGCACAAGATGGTTGAGTAGTGGTTTAATAAAAGATTGGCTAGAATGCCATGCATGTGCCATGTCTGGGCAGGAAGGAGAGAATATGAGCATTTTTTGCAACGTGAATTGAGGAGGAGGAGGAGGGACCGACATTGCCTTTTGGGTGGTCATTCAGTCATTGGAGTTGATCTGCTTCATCTGTAGTTCAGAAAGAAAGACTCGTGCCTGGGATTGCAGCCTCCGTGATGTAAAAAAGTGAACGTTTTAACAGTGCAGACGACTTATTGATGCCTAAAGATCACCATCGTCCTTTTTGCATAGGCACAGCCACATGCAGCTGGCACTGTGAGGTGGTTATATTAGATAGCCTATAACACCGAGAAAAGCCCAAACATGGAACTTTTTTGCTTGGAAAAGGACACAATCATGCGAGCTCAGAGAGATCCCAACATCTTCTGCGATGAAAGAGTATTGCAAAGTCTTCTAACAGTGGAGGACAGATATGTTCCGCAGGGACCCTATTTTAAACGTGTCCAGAAAGATATTCAGCCTTTTATGAGGCGGATGGTCGCGACGTGGATGCTGGAGGTTTGTAGTTAAAGGTTTATTTATGGAAAGTGTTTGGTTGGAGTGTGTAAAGACTATGCAAAAAGTATTATGTAATGTAGATTATGTTGGCAAGAATCTGAAGTAGCTAGCTGGACTTTGGCAGACAGTCAAAGTCAAGAAACATTTCTCAAGTAGGCTAGTCAAACTAAAAAAAACATTAGCCCAGACCTCTATGCATAGCATAGCCTATATATGTATATATATATATATATATATATATATATATATATATATATATATATATATATATATATATATATAGCATATGTGTAATCTATTCATCGATGTGCAAATATTGGAAAGGAAAGTTTGATCGAGAAATCAGCAGGAAATGCAACTCAACCCTCCACACTCCGTGATAGCCTAACTTACTTGTCATTTTAATATTGAACGCTTTTGTGTGTTTTTTCAAGGCATGCTTTATTGGACAGATGAGGGTCTGTGCTTTATTTACGTGTGCATGTTCAATGTTTTTTTGCATTTGTGTAATTTTTGCGAATTTTTTAAACAGCCTGTGAGTTGCTTGTGCGAAAGTGCAACCATGTTGAGAATCGTCGATTTAAATGTTTTACAGTTCATCAATGCAACGCAATAGTCGATATAGTTTAATTAGAGAGATACATATATGTGTGATATTATATGCTGTCATTGACATTAGGAACTGAGTGTTAGATCACTTTTTTTTCTTTTTTCTTTTTTTTTTACCGTGACGAATCACCAAAGCAGTCATGTGTGGGCGTCATTTGGTTTCAAAGCACACCCGGCTTGAAATGAATGAAGATCTTTACCACTGGAAAGTTCCTCTTTCTCATCAAAAGAGTTACAGTACTAGGAACATATTGTAGTTGCAAATTGTAGGCTACGAACCTAATATTACATAAAGTAGAATTCATATAGCTTATAGCCAGGCTACTTACAGTAAAAAAATATAGGCCTAGCTATACATTAAATGTAATAATGTTCCATATAGTAAAGCTAAAAAATGGAATAGCCTATGAAAAGAACTTAAAGGCCTGGTTGAAGAGTATAACAATATTTAAAATAGAGAAGTTGTTCAATGCACACTAAGCATTTGACAGACAGTCTAAATTGTGAATTAATTCTGTCGTGTCCCTGTAGGTTTGTGAAGAGGAGAAATGTGAAGAGGATATCTTTCCCTTGGCAATGAACTACCTGGACAGGTTTTTAGCTGCAGTTCCTACAAGAAAATGTTTCTTGCAGCTTTTAGGGGCCGTTTGTCTCTTCCTGGCTTCAAAATTAAAAGCATGCCAGTCGCTGTCGGCCAGGAAGCTCTGCATGTACACGGACAACTCTATTACATCTCAACAACTGCTGGTAAGAGCTGTTGATGACAGCAAGAAGTCTTCCATCTGTTGTGTAATTCTATATTATTCATACCCCAGATTAAATACATCATATTTTTTTTTATTAAATAGCCCTAGTTTGTGAGCTTCTTATTCATCATATTTTTATTATTGTAAATTTTAGTGAATTTAGAGCTTCCTTTGCCACATAATGGTTGTTTTGACATTGAACAGTCTTCTGGTTTGAGCTAAGATGAAATGCTCTTGTGATTTTGGCCTCTGTGGCTGGAGTGAGGGATCTCTGATGAGCGTGAGAATGGTTTTGAATGGTTCTCATGCATACACTCTTAAAACAATGTTCTTTATTGGCATCTACGGTTCCATGATGAACCCTTAACATCCATGAAATCTTTCCATTACACAAAAGGTTCTTGATAGTGGAAAAATGTTCTTTAGGTTATTAAAAATGCTCTTTACACTAAGGAAATAATGGTTCTTTTAAGAGCTGAGAGGTTCTTTAGGGAACCCAAAATGGTTCTTCTATGGCATCAATGTGAAAACCCCCTTTTGGAACCTTTATTTTTAAGAGTGTAGATTGGCAAAGACGTTCTACTTCCATCAGACAGTCTATTCTAATCTCATATGAGCTGGTAAAACCCTGGTAAAGTCTGAATTGAGATGATCTCTTGATGATCGCTTTTGGATGTTATGTGTGTTTATATCGACCGAGGAAGAGAGAGAGAGAGAACAGGAAGGAAGGTAAATTAAGGCAACTGTTCTAACAAAAAGGTTTGCCATAAATTGCAGTGGTAATTTTAGTACCAACACAGATTCTTATTAACCGACTGAAGCATCCAGAAGGAGCTGGAGGTGTCTGTAGGAGTCTTGACCTTGGTGATTTGGTGTCGCTTTCAGGGACTGTCCCCACTTGGCGGAGTTTTCACTAACTTCAAATCTTTCACACTCTCTCTTCACTCATCAACACACACACAATAAGGGTGGAGAGCTTCTCACTTTGGGCTGTTTTTCCCCTCGTGTCTTTGCTCTTGAGAGTTTCTCAGAAAGCAGCTTCAGCAGGGCGAAACAAAGCCAGCCAGGCACGTGCGAGGAAGGAAGTTGAGCGTGTGCATGGAATGCTCCTTCATTGGTGGTGGAGATCAAAGACAAGGGGTGGAGCTTTATATGATGACCTGATTCATTTTACAACTATGATGTCCCTTGGGCAAGAAGATCCATATTTAAAAAGCAACTTAACTCAGTGTTCCTGTTTTGAAGAATCACAAGTTGGAGAATGTGTTGAGTGACACAATGACACAACCTAGACTTTTTAAGGCACACAACCTTGTGTGTTAATGCAATACATGTTTTTGCACTTTAAAATCTTTCTGTCTGGAGTAAGTATAGCATGTACTTACAACAGAAGATTGCAGTTGCCTAGTTGAAACAGTAGGGGGCAATAAAACAGACGACAGTCAGGAGTTTGATTTAGTCAGATACACTTTCATTGACAAACAATGGAGAAGTGATAGCATCAGATATTGATACTATGGTACTGAAATAATAAACTATGAATACTGAATAAATATGGTACTGACATAATAAATTAAGTTCAAAACGTAGGTTCGGGAGGAGCCCAAACATTCAGTCCTGTCAATTATCATTATGAGCGAGCGTACTATATAAGCAGCAGACACCACGTCATCTCAGTGACAAATTCTTCCGGCAGCTCTCCTCCAGTAAATTACCTCTATCCTATTACGCGCAATTGCATCATAGGTTTTTTTAATTCGGAGCTCAAGCCGAGCCTCGGGTTCGAGCCTCCTCCAAGGACAGCAAGCCAAGTTAGTTTACTATTAACCTTTAAGGTTGAATGGGCAGACGAACTAGTGAAACCATGGTATTTATATCATATAGTTTGTGTAATCATTTGCAGACTTGTTGGACTTAATGACAGTAAAGTTCATATACATTGTAAAAGGGGATTTTCCAAAGTTGTAAGTAAAACAGGTTATTGGAGTATGTTTTCCAAGAAAATACCATTTCAGTCTTCCTACTGAATTTCATGTTTAATTCAATTACTTTGTCGTTTCTTTGTAATTATTTGTGAAATTTACTTTCAAAGTAAATCCTACACTAAATTGTATTCAGTGTAGACATTACTAGGTCCACATGGAATCTCTGGCTGCAAAATGTTGCATGACATTGATATATATATATATATATATGTATGTAGATATATATTGCATGACATGATATAGCAGATCTAGGCAGGTGGAGCTGGGAGAGGTGGGGGGTTTCAGAGGAACTCTGATAGAGTTCTTCTGCACGACCAGCTTACACTGAGCAGAGCACTGAACTAGACTATGTAAATAGCGAGCAAGCAGTCTCATTGGCTGTAGAATCAGCAAAGGGCAATCAGATTGTGCCGAAATTTTGAAAAAGACCATCCTCAAGCCATCTGGGCCTGCTCGTAGATAATACCAAAACCCTACTGCATCCTGTATCCATGTATAGTGGGTAATGTAATCTCTGTATGTTATCCTGCCAATCATATTCATTATCTTTTGTTCTGTTTTTGCCTCTCTCTGTCTCTCTGTTGGAGTGGGAGTTGGTGGTTCTAAGTAAATTAAAATGGAACCTGGCTGCCATCACCCCTCTTGATTTTATCGAACACATCCTGCACAAACTGCCCTTCCCTGAAGACAGACAGACGCTGATCCGCAAACACGCGCAAACCTTCATCGCCCTCTGTGCAACAGGTAGGAGCTGAGTGACATTGACAGCATTCATCAAAAACTGATGGGCTGAATCTACATGTTAGAAATCCATGATGTGAATGTGTTATGATGCTTTCGGCCTTGTTATTTGCGTCTATAAAAGTGTTGTATATTTAACTGGGTGTGTTTCTGCGGCCCTGCATCTGTTCAAGAGGCGGAGGCCTGAACATGAGCCAAGCAAACATGAGAAGAGCTTTTTTGAGCTATTACAAATGTTTTTGTCGTTGCGTTTAACAATTTTCTCAAGTTAGGAATGTTGGTTTTCTGCACAGCTGCTAAACTGCGGCAGTCACTCGAGTGTAGTGTTTATTCAGGGATGACTGTTGCATCCTCTGCATCTGAAAAAAGCAGCACGATAACTCCAACAAAGCAGATGAAAAGAACGACTTCCAGCACAGAATAGAGGAGGCTTTCCTCTCCAACTGAAAACCGAGGGCCCGTTCTCAGGATCTCAAGACAGAGGAAGAGGGGGAGTAGTTCCTGGAACCTCAAAGCCCTCTGAGAGATGAAGGAAGGGAGGGAGGAAGATGGGGTGGGAGGAGAAGGAAGGCTCTCCTCATTTTCCATTCGCAGCTGCAGGAGGATTTAAGCGAGGTAGTGATGGTAAAACAGGTCTGAAACCGGAGAGCGTGTGAATGTCAGGTTAAGGTTTGTGTGGAATTCAAAACAGATGTAAGATGCAGATTCAGACACCACAGATTGCATAATCAGAACTGTTTCATTGGAATTTATTTTGAAGGTTCTCTTAGGTGAGTAATGTTCTAGGGAGTTTACTGACCAGGCCACTAATGTTTCGGGATGTGCACGTGTTTGTTTTTTCCTCAGATCACAGCTTCACCATGTACCCTCCCTCCATGATCGCCACAGGATGTGTGGGGGCAGCAGTATGTGGCCTCCAGCCCAACCAGAGCAACCAAAATCTGTGGGGGGACAATCTGACGGAGCTGTTGGCTAAAATCACCCACACTGAGGTGGTAAGTGTCCCAACATCTTCATACTAAAAAAGAAATTAAACAAAATCTCAGTTATTACAATGCTACATAGCAAATTACCTTTTGAGATATAGTTTAACCCAGGCTAAGCTAAAGTTTATTTGCTTAGTTGTACAGTAATCCATTCATTCTGTGACAGAACTACAGAACGACTTCCTGTAGATCCCATTTTTTTCGTTTTTTGTTTTGACACATTTCCTATTGAAAAATACAGTTGGGGTTGGACACATCTCGGAGCTCATCTCTTTTTTTTAAAAGCTTTATTTCAAGCAATGTTATTTTAGCATAATTGAAATTTATTATATTGTAATTTTTTTTTTACATAATTAGATTTCAAATTATTTAGATTTTTAGAATGCCTTTTAATAATACTTTTCCATCAACTGGTTAAAATGTATAACACTGTGTGTATGCTATCCCCGTAAACAAAAAACAATACAAAAACAAATACATATGTGGAGTGGAAAAAACAATTATTTTCCTCCCTCATTCTGACTATCTGTCATAAATTATACATTTTTAAGGGGTGGCTCCTTTAAATTTTGTCAGTAAACAGGCACTGTTATGATTGGCTAATGTCATTGCATAGGAAACAGCATCAAAACCCACTCGATGAAAACATCATCCACATCAAACCAAATCTTTCTGAAGCATCTGCTTCATCTTTCATCAAAAGTTCCTTTGCAAACTCTCCATTACACTGTGCCTTGTTGACAAAACAACCTGCAGTCAAATGCTCTGAACAAACCTATAGTCCTCAGACGCAATCCATGATGCCATTGAAAATAAGCCATCCACTTGTTCCTGATGCTGGTTTCCTTCTGAAGTCTCTACAGAAATGAGCAATTGGATGCATCAAAGCAAACGTTCCTTTATGCATTCATTTACTCTTCCACTTGTCCTGTTGTTGGCAGACTCAAGCGCATGGAGTGCGTGAGTAACTGTATACTGTATCCAGTGTAGACAGCGACAGTAATTGTAATGGTTTCTATTTGCTTTTGACGCAACGCGACGCTCACATTCAGTGTAGACAAGTGCCAGCCGTTAAGCAACTGAACGCCAGTGGGCAGGACCTATGGTGGAGGCAAATGCATTTGCCAGTGTGATGTTGCAATATCAAAACGAGTCGTTTTTGGAGCTTGATTAAATAAATGCTTTGTTTATAATGAGGAGGACGTTTTAAGCTATGAAACTTTTTTTAACTGTACAAAGACCTCTTATATGTCAAAAGATCAAGGCAAATACAGTTTACAATTGAGTGTCCATGACAACTGATGACTGGCGGGAAACTAAGACAAAGAAACGCATATGACTGATGAAAACAAACTGAAAGTCCATGAAAACAGAAACTTAGAACAAACAAAACTGAGTGCGTGTGACAGTCATAATTACAACAGAAAATATCTATCCTATATGTGGGGGGCCTATTCTGCACAGTGGGAGTAAAAAAGGTTGAGATCCACTTTTCTAGAAAGCATTTATTGAACATTAAATTGGACATGTTGGTCTTTCAAGAGAAAGACTGTACGCTTTTAAATGTGTTCAAGACAAGTCCATTTTTCTTGAGAGACAAATTGTGGACATAGCCTACATGTGCGTGTGCAGGACATTCATGCATGACTGTATGGAAATTGAGAAATGTAATTTTATGAATGAATGTTAGTGTGTGTTCAATGCAACGATGGCGGTGTGTTTTCAGAGCTGCATACTTGTGGCGAGACACAGGCCTCTCAACCACATCTGTGGATTAAAACACACACACGCACACACTCACTCATGCTCTTACAGAAACGTACACATCTTGCCTTCAGGCTGTTTTGAAAGTCTCACAGTAAAACTTTTTTGAATTAGACCCAGAGAGTGAACGCCCCATTTAAACTCCTCACATACACTCATATGGTTGAACACATTCTTTGTCTTTCCTCAATGTAATGTGTTAAGTTTTTTTTCTCCATCTGAAGTTCTGGAAAAAACACCACATGCCTCCATTAGCAACCATTCCTTCCTGTGCCTGTAGTTGTCAAGACAATGGGGCCTGTTGTGTCTTCTCATTCGGTTTAGAGCGAGAACAGCCTGTCAGGTTTTAATTATCCTGAGAAAGACAAGAGTTTGATATGGGATCATTTCATTAGACCTCACACTTTACTGCAGAAAGAGGCAGGCACAAGAAGTCAAAGTCTTATTGTTTGATAGTACATGGTCCTTTGTAGCCTATTGACATAAAGCCTAAACCAGTTTGCAACTTAATTTTGGCTAAGAACTGCCAACTTAAGGTGCGGTCACATTAGCAAAATTTTGGCATTCAATTTCACTACACTATTGTCTCTTGTCAGTAGTGTAGTGATGTAGGCATCACAATTCACACAGAAGTCACTTTTTAAACCAGGCAATTTACTATCAATTTTCACAAAAGAGTGAAAATTTTTTCAAAGTAAATCCTACACCATTTTATTTTTCAGTGTAGTTAATAACAGAGATGCTTTCCCTTGAGAAACTTTACGTTCTTTCGCAAAAGTTTTGTTTTCACCTGAGAAACTTTACAGTCCATCACAAAAGTATTGCTTTCCCCTGAGAAATACTACAGTCTCTCTCAAAAGTATTGCTTTCCTCCGAGAAACTTTACATTCTTTGACAAAAGTATTGCTTTCCCCCGAGAAACTTTGTTCTCTCACAAAATTATTGCTTTTCCACAAGAAACTTAAGGTTCTCTCACAAAAGTTTTGCTTTCCCCCTAGAACCTTTACGTTCTCTCTCAAAAGTATTGCTTTCCCCCAAGAAACTTTACGTTCTCTCACAAAAGTATTGCTTTTCCACAAGAAACTTTACGTTCTCTCTCAAAAGTAGTGCTTTCCCCCGAGAAACTTTAGTTTCTCTCAAAAGTATTGTTTTCCCCTGAGAAACTTTACGTTCTTTGGCAAAGGTATTGCTTTCCCACAAGAAACTTTACGTTGACGTTCACTCTCAAAAGTATTGCTTTCCCCCGAGAAACTTTACGTTCACTCTCAAAAGTATTGCTTTCCCCCGAGAAACTTTACGTTCTCTCTCAAAAGTATTGCTTTCACCCGAGAAACTTTACGTTCTCTCTCAAAAGTATTGCTTTCACCCGAGAAACTTTACGTTCTCTCTCAAAAGTATTGCTTTCCCCCGAGAAACTTTACGTTCTCTCTCAAAAGTATTGCTTTCACCTGAGAAACTTTACGTTCTCTCTCAAAAGTATTGCTTTCACCCAATACACTTTACGTTCTCTCAAAAATGTGCTTTCCCCTGAGAAACTTTACGTTCTTTGGCAAAGGTATTGCTTTCCCACGAGAAACTTTACTCTATCTGGGAAAATTATTGCTTTCCATGCAGTGTGTTTGAGGATGAAACTAGTATAGTCAGAGAAGGACTTTGGTATAGTGCTTAAGTTGGTTTCTACTTCTTTCCTTCTATTTCTTCTAGGACTGTCTGAAATCATGTCAAGAGCAGATTGAGCAGTTACTGACCAGCAGCCTGAAAGAAAGTCAACAACAACAGGACGGCAGAGCCAACAACAAAGGGACACAATCTCAAAATCTGTCCTGCACCCCTACAGATGTCCGTGATGTCAATTTATGATGTCAGTTCCCGTTCCTATCCACCACACCTACTCAGCCTACAAATGATTCAGTTATTATTGTATTACTGTATTTAAGTTTTATTTCAAAGCCACATAAGGTGACTGTGACGTCATGGTCATATGCGCATAATATACAAACACAAGCTTGACGTTTTATTAAGGAGCAAAGCAGCTGCTGCTGCCGTCTCATATCTGCAGGCGGTGGCGTTTTACATACTTGAATTTAAATTGAATCGGCCTCAAACCATGATTAAATAATGCAGTATGTGGTATATTGCTTAACAAAGAGCATACATCTGTATTGGCTATCATATGCAACTTTATCTATTAATACTATTGATATTTTATTGAATAATTATAATAATAAGGACAATATTACATTATTACTAAGAATGTTATGCTTTATAATATAAATACATTCTTATATCGTATAGAATGTATTGCTTTAGTAATTCCCAGAGGCCGTTTTTTATATACTAGGTAATTTAGAGTGCATCCAGATGTGATCCCACGGAAAGCTATTCTAGACAGAGACATCCATCAGTCCTTTCAGTGGGATCGGTTTGCTTATCATCAAGATATTAATACAATGATCTGATGAGTTACTTCTTGGGTATGAGTAACTCCATTAGCATAGGGATTATTTACAGATGAATGTAATTGCATGCAATAAGCATATATGAATATGTTAAATGGTTTCTATCCATACATGGTGACCATCACAGCTCCATGAGAACACAGGACGGTTTCAGATAGACTAAGTATGTAGTGAACGTGAAGTAAAGGTGAGGTAGGCAAGGAAGAAAAGAGGTGAATTGAAGAACACAGATTGAAAGATTTTGCACGCGATTGAAATATGAAAGGTTTTAGACAGGTGGTTTCTGGAACGAACTAATCGTCGGATGAATAAAATGTGCTGTTTGCTCATTTGATATTTAAAAACACCATCACATGTGAGTCAGAGACACTCGCTATGCTGAAGGGATTTATGGTGGTTTAATGATTTGGGAGTCTTAAAATCCTTCCTAGCAAAAACACGATACAAATGCACTTTGAGATATCACCTCTCGCTGGTTATCCGTGCTATACAAGAGGAGGGCAAGGGTTTTCATTTTTTTTTGCATTGTTTTTCTTTTTTAAGTTATTTTTGTTTTGGGGCTGGTTTCCCATATTAGGTGTGCTTGCGGGTTATAGTTTTAATTTTAGACCAACAAATTCAGACCATAAACTGATCTAACAGTCAGCAACTTCCATAGAAATGGTGAGGTTTGACATGCCAAGATTAGTTGTTGTTGTTGTTTTTTTAGTTGTGTTAAATTCATGTCAGCATAGATAGGACATCATCAAATTTCATTAAATCACTTTATTTTATTTGTCTATTTTATTTTGTCATCTACTTGAACTTTCTCATATATAGGAAGAAGATATTTTGAAACATTATGCCAATTTCCTTTCTCTTTCTTCATTAGTTTGTTCTTGCACTTTTGAAAATTGATTTCTTAAGTCAGTTCTCTTTATATTAGTGGACCTAAAAGTAACTCAGAGGTCTGAGGTGTTTACTTAAAATATAACGTGTTGTGACCAATGTTCCATTCCAACACATCTATGCAAATGAACTCTACGTTTATGCTCAGTTTGATTTGTTTTTGAAACGATGTTCGTGTTTTTTAATAATTTTCACACATTTGGTTTTCAGTGAGTTTGTGTGCTATCATATCCTTATGTTCATTTTGTGTTTTTCCCCAGTTCCTTTATTTCTGTGTAAATGTTTAAACTTGTGTTCCAGTGCTGCTAAAAGAAAAAGAAAAATGAAAAAAGAGCTATTGCATACCTTCGGTTTTCATGTTGCTGCTATATCACAGAATCATTGAACGTGTTTTCATGGTGGCTGCATGTCTGTTTTCTGTTTGCATTTACACTGTCATTTATTTTACTGCAGACGGACCTTTAACATGCATGCAAGTGTTACTTTCATATCTGCACGAACAGTCTTGCCTCATTTGTTCAATGCTGTCTAACTTGACTGTTGTCTGACTTCTTTCCCTAGCTATTATATTAATATGTGTTATGAAACGTGTTATAAAACGCCTTAATTGCTTTCAAATAATGTTCCTGCCCACAGTCGCATTACTTACCTCACAGTACTTCAGTCAAGAGTATAGGGAGGAGGAGTAGGATTAAAAAGGGTAGTTGAACCTCTTTAACGAGCAGGTTACCCTACAGGTTAAACCTTCAACTTCTTTTATTAACTTGTCTTTCATCAAACATCTATAACTGCTTACCAGGTAGATGTAAGACCGGGGCAACACATTGTTTAGATACAAGATATTATTTTTATTTTATTTTGTTTGAATTATTTTGAAGCAGCCATCTGTTAAAAGTTCCACCTCCACATCCCAAAAAATCCAAAGAAGTGGCATTTCAGCAATACCATAATTATTTTCACCCTTTGACTGTTAAGTTTGAATATTCTCATTTTGGCCTATCACACATTCAATTCAATAAATATCCATTTGAATAAAACTGAGCAGTGTTTTGTTTTGTTAATTGCGAATACCACTGCAGTAGACAAGTAGGAGCCGAATGGCGCCCTTCTGTGGTGATTTATATGACTTATAGCAGAACGCTGTATACCGGTAATATAAATATCGCCCTCGTGTGGTGAGTTTTGTCAATTACACAATATGAAATTAAAAATAGACGGATTGAGATATTGATTCTAGCGGGCAGGTATGTAAAGTAGCCTATTATTTCTCAGTAACATTGTTCAGTGTCATTTATTTAATTAGTTACTCTTTTCGCCGCCGTCGGTCACAAAGAACTCGTGGTTCGTGATTCTTACAAACGGTTATCATAAAAAAAGGAGATTTTTTAAAATGTATTTTAATGGCAGGAATAAATATTCCATTTGAAATCCCGATTTGAATTTGAACGCGGTTAAAGAAAACGTTTGACACGTGATTATTATTATTTTGCCAGGCCAGGGGTATGGAAAACAAAACAATTTCCAGAAGTTACAATTTACAAACTGATTACAGGTGTACAAAAACAGGAACAGATATTAGAAAGCAACATTTGCAACTGGTAGTAAAAAACAAACAAAAAAAAACATAAGATGCAGCAGTGCACTTCCCAAAAATCACCACAGGAGGGCGACAGACTTCCATTCATTTAAGTGACGTCATTTCTCTGCAACACTTTGACTCATGAACCAGGAAGAACACCTGTCATTTTACTGTCTATGGTCATACATTTCATCTGCTCTTGCAAATCTGTATTATGCTGACGTTTGCATTAACGGTCGTTCGACAGTAAGTGAGCGCTTGTGTATTCTGTATGTTTGCTTTTGTTGTACATGCATACGAATGTTTATGATTTCTTTAGGTGATACGGTAGAGAGCACATGCATGATCTACATCTGTTCTGCTTATACGCATCACTAAATGTTTCCACGAATGCTTTATATTGCATATAAGTTAGTCAACGCTGTGATCGGACATGTTTTGTCTGTAACTTAGTTGATATAATGACCTCTACATGACATGGCATGTGAGCTGTCCCTCCTGAAGTGATTTATCACTCTTTATTATTATGTGCTCTTGTTTCCTAGTGGGGAAACACAATACAACAGAGATAAATTGCTTCAAGGTAAGTAAATACACGTGTTTTGTTAATGCTCAGTGGTTTCAATTGGTTAGCCTAGATGCCACGAACACCCAAAATATGATCATCGTCATGTGAGGGACTCCCATCTGTTTAGTTTCTTTACCCAATTTATATTGTGAATAAATAATATTATAAATACTATTGTGAAAATATTTCGTTTCTTTTAAAGGGACACATTCCTCCGCCTAAAATTAAAATAGAGTCATAATTTACTCACCCTGGTGTTCTAATAGCGCAAGCGGGATATATATATTTTAATCTCCTTTTGTGGTTCAACTAAAAGAAAGAATGACATTCTAGCGACCATCTTCAAGCTTTTAAAAAAAAGATGCAACGTTTTACAGAATGATATGCAACACATGCCGTATATTCCAAGTGTATATCAGAGTATACTAGAGTTATTTGCTTATTTTAATTTAATTTTTCTATTTTAATTTTGATATTGTAATCTATAATATACAATCATTTTATTTATTTAGTATTTTAAATTTGTACACTTTTTCTCTAAACATTTTCACGGACCCCCTAGTAGTCTACTCCTTGCATAATCCCTGCTCAAGATGTGCTGTTGACCTTTTTTGTATGTGGATGAATGTTTTTTTTTCTCAAATGTGTAGGTCAGGGCATTGACACACCGCTGTCAGAGACGGGACATAAGCAGGCGGCCGCAGCTGGCCGGTACCTCAAAGATCTGCATTTCACCAATGTCTTTGTCAGTAACCTGCAAAGAGCCGTCCAGGTGTGTGTGTGTGTGTGTGTGACTGCAACTGTTAGATTTTGTGAGTGATTTATCCATCATGTGAAATATAACTTCTTCTTCTCAAGACAGCTGAAATCATTTTAGGAAACAACCTCCATTCTTCTGCGACTGAGATGATATTGGATCCTTTTCTCAGAGAGAGGGTGAGTGTCTATCTTAACCAAGATTCGATATTTGTCACATGCACTGTTATATACACTAAACAGCTGGCAGGGAAATGTAAACTTGGTCAGCTGCATACTGTGCATTAAATATATAAATATTTGATATAATGTTAATGATAAGATTAACATCAGAAATAATATTGAACAAGATAAGTTATAATATTAATAAAACAAAATAGCATCTCTTCAATTTGGTATCCCATAAGAATTGCTGTAGTGTTAGTTCAAATGCACATGTGTGATGTATTGGTCAGGGTTTCGGGGTGGCAGAGGGAAGACCAAAGGAACATCTGAAGAACATGGCAAACGCAGCGGGTCAGGCCTGCCGAGATTACACGCCTCCCGGCGGAGAGACGCTGGAACAGGTAGAAATTGAGCCTTTCTCTAGGAAAACTAGTCTTGAATGTTGCCACATATGATGCCACTTAAATCCAGAGGGAAATCAGAAGTAGCTTATACACTGAATTTGGAGCAGCTGGCTGTTGTGAAAGTACTTTGTGAAGTACACAAGTTTAAAAGTTGGGGAAGATAACGTTTCTATTGAGCAAACATACAGTAATATTGTAAAATATTATTACAATCTAAAACAACTGTGTTCTATTGTAATATATTTTAAAATGTAATTTATTTCATGTGATCAAAGCTGGCTTTTCAGCATCATGACACCAGTCATAATAGGTCCCCTTTAAAAAAAAAAAATCATTATTCCAAACTTTTAAACTGTAGAATACATAACTATAAAATTTACTATTTAGTCATTTTCACTGTATTTTTTCCAAGAGCGTAGTGACTGTTCAGATTAAATGCTCTGACAGAAGAAACTGTTTCTGTGTTTATCCAGGTAAAGACACGCTTCAAGAAGTTCCTCAAATCCTTATATCAGTGCATGTTAGAGGAACACGGCTCATCTGACCAGTGTTCTGCATCCAGCTCTGGACCATCAGAACCAGAACAGCCTGTCATTGCTGGACTAGCCAGTGACGGAGTCCACAACGTACACGTCCATGCTCTGATCGTTAGTCACGGGGCGTTTATTCGTGTGTCTGTGCGTCACCTAGTAGAGGACCTGCAGTGCTGTCTGCCAGCAGGCCTGAAGATGAACCAGGTGTTCTCCCCGTGCCCGAACACTGGCATCAGCAGGTTCATCATCACCCTCCGCAGAGAGGAGAGCGCCCGCATCCAGTGTATCTTTATCAACAGAAAAGACCACCTGGATGATGTCAAAAACTCTGATTAACAGTATTATGTGACTGTTTGGTTTATCTGGCATTGCCAGTGTTTTTATTTATTGCTCCTTACAAATTCAACGACTGAAGCGAAAAGCACATATAAGTCTGTGTGATTGATTTTATTGTGTAAATTATTTAACTGCAGTGATTTATTTATCCCGTCCGCTGACTGAATGCAAACAATCGTGAGACGTCTTTTTGATGTTGTCCGTTATATAAGCACTTTATACTCGCACTACTGTGGTTTTGGCCTCTAAAATGCTGCAGTATTCACGCATACTGAACATGTATATTAATTTTTATGCAATAAAGAGATTCAGAGAAATGTAAAGCTAAGAAGGTTTGATTTTTCTTTACATTTGTGGTTAAATCTTGACTGTTTACTGTGTAATTTATGTGCACAGAAAATGTCAAATCTTGTGATGCTTTAGCTTTAAAGGGGCTATATGTAAAAAATGTAATGTATTAATTGCTTTTTCATTGCCAATGTGTGAACAACTTTATGTAAAGGACTCGGGACGGTTTTGCCCGTAAAATCAGATGAAATTGACGTTTACGCGCGCTCCCGAGAGCATCTGACTGACATACAATGGTCAGAATAATACCGAACCATTCTGTAGGTCTACTACTATAATTGCCATATTTCATGCACAGAAAAGGGATAAACTATAGTCTCACATAACCTAGATGTATAGTCTCAAATAACCTCTTTTTCTCATTGCTGTAATTTATGTTTTTGCTATTGAGAGGAAAGCACATAGGCCCTTTTACATATTCATTCTAAACAAATGTCGCTCAGTGGAAGGTGTCGGATGATAACAGTATATCGCTGCGAGGGCATTTCCAACTTATTTTTACTTCTAAGACGACAAAGAACTTTGACGTGAGTATATCGGAGCATTGAATCATTGTAGTGTTTCGTACGTTACGTGTACACGTGTTGTTGGCAGCAACTCATTTAACGACCACCAGTGTCGCTAATAACAAGGGTTTCTGAAATCATTAATTGTATTTTATATCTCCAGGTTGAATGTTAAATGTGAGTTGTGACATGCACAGAGGAATGTAAACATCATGTTACACTCTTAAGGGGAAAAAGGTTAGTTGGGGTTCTAATATATTTAGAACCTGAATTTTGAAGAACACATTATGCCAAAAAGGTTATAAGGAGAAATGTCCTAAATGATTGCATTATACTTTCATGGTTAACAGGTTATTTTTTCTGATGACAAAGTATGTTTGCAAGCTGTTTAATTTATAAAACTAAATAAAAATAACAAATGAATTAAAACAAAATCCATTAAAACATTAAGATGTCCTTCAAATACACCAAATATAACACATTCTGCCATAATGCCATTTTGAGATGGTGTTTGAAGATTTGTGGTTCCGTTGTTGTGTTTAATTGGTCTGTGCTATGTCATCCAGAAGATGGCGCTGTGCTACTGACCTCTGAAGGAGAGATGGGCCAACCTGCTGATGGAGAGAAGAACAGGACACGTCTCCGCTGCCGCCCACTCCAACAACAGGAAACTATCACCATCTTTGGTCCCTTATTTTCTCCCTGCCGACCGGCGAAGGAAACTTAGTGATCTTCTAAGGGTTGTCATTTTCCTGCCGGTAAGTGGGCGGCAGTTTGGTTGAGTTGGTCACGCAGGGGACCTGGACGGCTCAAATGTACCGACGTCCTACAATCCAAGCAGACGATAGACTAGTCTGTGGCCACACATTCTTCAACTCCTACAGAAGCTCCTAAAATATCTGCTCAGACAAATCACATTTACATTTTCTTACACACACACACACACATGCTGCATGAGTCATCGTGACCCATCAAAGCACTGCAGCATCTTCAGGTATGTTATTGTACAAGGTTTATACACGTGCACAACCTGTAAAGTAGCTGAAAATCAGATGTTACTTTTTTAGACAGAAAAATGCCACTTCTAAATAAAACCAGCAGTTTTATTTAGTTTCCACACAGTTAAGACACCCAAACAAAGTCATGTGCTCACAATGTTTTGTTCTATTGCAGTCCCACTTAAAGGAGAACTCCGGTCAATTTTAACATTGAGCTCATTTTTTTGTACATTTGGAGTGCTGTCAGTACAGACAAAAACGACAAAAATCGGTGTTGCCTACACCGTGTTATCCTCTTTTTAAAATTCGCACCCTGTTGACTTCAATGGGGCAAGTTCTAAACCTGCTTTTAGCCTCTTAACAACCTTAATGTGTCATTACAAGTGCACAGCCATGTGAGTGGTGTTATTAAGAGTGACCACGGTCAATCTGACTGCAGTAGATGTGCAAGATATTAATAAAAATGATGTTAATTTAGCCAGCTCACATACCTGTATTTACTTCCTGTTTTCGTTCGAAGTCCACAGTAGTCGATTGTCGAGTTCGCGCGCGTGATCATTGGTAACGAATATCATAGACATAATAAATACATAGACGCCCTATTGGCCGCTGGAGCGTACGTCAACGGCGCCGCCATGTTGGGGATGGCAACTTTCCCATACCTCTCATACCGGGAATTGAGAAAAATGCATGTTTTGTGCGCTGTTTGGGGCTGTACACATCGCCACACAATGGAAAATAGCTTTCGAGGAATTACCTTTCACAAGCAAGACTGAACGTTTGTTTTTGGTTGTATTTGGTCATGATTTAATTAGTAATAGTAACGTTCAGAGGATAAATTTAAAAATACTACTGTTATTGTGTCACGAAATGTAGTTTTAATAGTTTTTCAGTCGACAATGTAGTTGTTTAAAGCTCAAATATGTGGTTTGTTTATAAAGATAGCGCCTATTTAAAAATTTGATCTGACGTTTTCGGAGTTGTAAGATGCGCTCAGCGCTCGTCTACCCCGCCTGGAACAGCCGTCCCTCGGCCAGTGCTTTTGAAGTTTTGCCGCTGACTCGGATGTCTGTAGTCTAGTGGTTAAACATGAGATATAATTCGTCTTGTGTATATCTAACGGGCGATCTTTGGTCTCATTAATCTATAATGGTTCCCTGGCAAATCGTTTTGGCTGAGGGCAAAGTGAAGTTTCATAACTTTATATTTAGGCTATTTAAACATTGTATCCTGCTGTATGTTTGACTGAAGCTACTTCTGTTATAATGGCTATTACTGATCAATAAAACTGAAATTTAACAAAAAGAGTTAAACATTAAAGTCACTATTTAACTTATTTTTTATTGTGTATATTCTGTAATTGATATTTCTTATTCTATTGCTATTATAGTATTATTAATAAACTATGCTATTATCAATATTTTTATGATTGTATTATTGTACTTATGATATTATATAATTATACTAATCATTACTATTTTATTTGCTGTATACTATTTGTTTATTTTATTGACTAAACTATTTACTATTACTTTTCACTTTATGTTATATACTATTTGCATTGCACTGTAGTTGTACCATAACCTATTATTATAAAGGATCCATCAGTTATCTTTGTTATTGCTAAAATCTGGTCAATCACAGAAAATGCTTTTTCCACAATAAGAAAACTTAAATTATATCTCAGTATGGGGGTCTTCACCATTCTTATCCAAGAATAAAAAGCCAGATACATGACAAGCCTGAGCTTTGACCATTCTTTATTAAAAAAAAATATTTTACAAGTCTAACTATCGAGATTTTAAATAACTAGAGATGGAACTTTTTGTACACCACATACAAACCACTGAAATCGGTTGATAAATGTAAAAACAGTTTGTTTTTATCCAGAAAAAACGCAGCTCCCCCGTTTACTTACATTTGATTACAGTGCAGTCTTGCCCTCAGCAAAATGGCGGACCCGTTGACGTATCGCAGCAACGTTCCAAAGCGGACAATACACAAGTTTACGCGCCAAATCATGGGCGCCGCCATAACTCTACTTAAATGCACTTCATTTCCGCCGGAAGAGGTTTGCACACAGCGTCTGCCGGTGTACACAGCGACGGTTCCACGACTGGAGATGGCGTTACTATCCCCCACCCGAATTCAGTGCAGAACACTAACATGACGACGTGGCCCAGCATAACGTACAGCGAGATTTGCTCCTACTTCGTGCAATCCATGGCAATAGATGGAAAAGCAATTGGACAATCTGAAAGCCGTCGAGGCATATCAATATCTGCACAGCAACAAAGTCGGTTGTGTCATGTCATACACAGCTAGATAAAACAGACATAACGTGCAAATAACTATCAGTTTATGTCCGTGGTAATAGCAAATGTATCTGTGTGTTACTTTAATGTTTCTTTTAACATAATAACAACAATTGTGGCTAAATAAGTGTTTGCAGTTTATAGCTTAATCAGGGAAGACATTTACATGATTATAGGAAATAAAAGAAGCATGTTGTTGCGGATGGAATACGTGTTTGTATTTGGAAAACGGACTGTAACCTATAACATGACTTACTGCTGAGCTATAAATAAAGACATGATCTCTTTTGCAATTATCCTTATGACTCTGCATTGTTTTACCTGCTGTGTACCAACCAACCATTTTACCGGTTAAAATACCTTTAAATGTCGAAACTAACCCCTTAAAATGCAGTAGCCTATTCTACTTACAACAAAACGATTGAAGCCTCTACTTATTGCAATAAATAATGCAATCACTTTTCGGGACCGTGCCGGATCTCCGGCGTGCGGCCGTGAGAAAAATATTTTCCCGATTCATTTTTGTCCAGCTTTAACGTGTTAAAATATTTAATGCAAACGCAACATCTGTTCTTTCTGTCATCCTTTTGCTAGGGTTATGACCATTCTCTTATTCACGCAAATGCTTTAACCACTCATGCGCGACAAGACAAAAGAGAACGCGCTGTCAGTGAATGTCCTCCTGACGATCCGAACTATATCATAGGCTTCTTAGCTAGAGTGCAAAGTGTGTGTGTGTGTGTGTGTGTGTGTGAGCCATGATGATAATAATTAGGCGATCGAACTGTGTGTGAGAGAGAGGCGCGGGCGCGATACTGTGTGAGTGTGTTTGTGTGTAAACAATGGAGCGCATGGACCTCTTCGTAGCTGGTTTGCGGTCGTAGAACTCTCTATCTAACCACTCGTTCAGGTGCTTTCTCGAGTGTTTACAACCAACTATCACACACATCGTTCCCGAACCACCTTTCTTCATGTTGTAATTGTTATGTCACTGCGATATCAGCGCTTTGTCGGAGCTAGCTAGCAAAACAAACCCAGCCCGCCAGAACGGAAGTGGGTTGCATCGACGGGAGGAGTTTAGGATGTAGAGCGGAAACGGCTCATAAACTTGTGTATAGGGCGTCTATGTATTTATTATGTCTATGACGAATATAAC